TAAGCATCCTCATCCTTACAAACTTCAGTGGCTAAATGATATGGGGGAAGCCAAGGTAACCAAAACAAGTTGTTGTTCTTTTTCAATTGGAAGATACAATGATGAAGTTCTGTGCGACGTGGTTCCCATCAGTGTAAGCCAAATTATACTAGGACGTCCTTGGAAATTTGACAAAAAGGCTTCTCATGATGGATTTTCCAACAAGTATTCGTTCCAACATCAAGGAAAGAAAATCATATTAAAAAAAGGCCAAAGAAAGTCATACTCAGAATCTGAATATATACGCCAGTAGAGGAGATGTTCGAAAATATTTATCGACCAAGAAGACTATACTTATACTTATGTATAAGGAAAGTTTTCTACTTACTAACCTTCCTAAATGATTGCCTTCTTTTATCTCTAATCTTTTACAGGAATTTGAAGATATATTCCCTGAAGAAATTCCAGATGCATTACCCCCAATTAGAGGAATTGGACATCAGAATGATTTAATTCCTAGAGCCACAATTCCTAATAAACTAGCATACAGAAGCAATCCTGAGGAAAAAAAGAAATTACAAAGGTAAGTCAAAGAACTACTCGACAAAGGACACATTCGGGAATGTTTAAGTCCTTGTGTTGTATCAGTTTTGTTGGTACCAAAGAAAGATGGAACTTAGAGAATGTGTGTGGATTGTAGGGCTATAAACCAGATCACTATAAAATATAGGCACCCTATACCTCAATTGGATGATATGCTTGATGAACTTAGTGGAGCCAGCATCTTCTCCAAAATTGACTTGAAAAGTAGCTACCATCAAATTAGAATGAAGGAAGGTTACGAGTGGAAAACCACCTTCAAGATAAAACAAGGTTTATATAAGTGGTTAGTCATGCCTTTTGGCTTGACTAATGCCCCAAGTACCTTTATGCGTCTGATGAACCATGTATGTTGGCCTTACATTGGTAAGTTTGGTGTTGTTTATTTTGATGATATCTTGATATACAGTAAGTCCTTGAACAAGCATGATGAACATTTAAGGTCTATTCTTAGCACTTTGAGAGAAAAGCACTTATATGCTAATCTCAAGAAGTGTGCTTTTTATACTGACCAAGTTACTTTCTTAGGCTTCATTGTAAGTTCACAGGGACTAGCAGTGGATCCATAGAAGATTAAGGTAATTTAAGAATGGCCAAAACCTGTCAACGTCAGTTAATTTCAGAGTTTTAATGGATTAGCCAGATTTTACATGAGGTTTGTACCAAACTTTAGTTTTATTGTCGCCCCCTTAACAGGGATTATTAAGAAGAATTCAAACTTCTCTTGGGGTAAAGAACAAGATGTAGCATTCAACGAACTCAAGGATTGTTTGACAAAGGCTCCACTATTAGCCATACCAAACTTTGAAAAGACATTTGAAGTTGAATGTGATACCTCCGGAATTGGGATTGGTGCTGTTTTGAGTCAAGAAGGGAAGCCAATCGCTTACTTTAGAGAAAAACTAAATGGTGTAACCTTGAACTATCCAACATATGACAAAGAAATGTATGCACTCATTCAAGCATTAGAGACTTGGAACCACTACTTATTGCCAAGGGAATTTGTTATACACACTGAACATGAGGCATTAAAGCATATCAAAGGACAAGACAAACTCAACAAGAGACATGCTAAATAAGTCGAATTCCTTGAGTCTTTTACCTATGTCATTCACTATAAGAAAGGAAAAGATAATAGTAGCAGATGCTCTTTCACGCATGTATGTTTTACTTAACACTTTAGATTCCAAACTCCTTGGTTTTTCATTCATTAAAGAACATTATGCTACTGATTTGGACTTTGGAGAAAGGTATAAGTTATGTGAAACAGGTGCTCATGACAAATACTATTAGCATGATGGATATCTTTTCAAGGAAGGGAGACTTTGTTTCCCACAAGGTTCCATGAGAGAAGTATTAACCAAAGAAGCACATGAAGGGGGACTTATGGGACATTTTGGCGTTAAAAAGACACTTAGCATCCTGAAAGAACACCTCTTTTGGCCAAAAATGAAAAGGTATGTTGAAAAGGTATGTGAAAGGTGCTTAGTGTGTAAAAATGCGAAATCAAGAGTCATGCCTCATGGATTATACATGCCTTTACCGATACCAGCCATGCAATGGGTAGATATCTCTATGGACTTTGTTTTGGGTTTACCTAAAACCAAGAGTGGAAAGGATTCAATATATGTGGTGGTCGATCGATTCTCCAAGATGGCTCATTTTATACCATGCAACAAGATAGATGATGTTATTCATGTTGCAAACTTATTCTTCAGAGAAGTGGTAAGGTTACATGGACTTTCTCAAACCATTGTGTCGGATAGAGATGTCAAATTTCTAAGCCACTTCTGGAGGACTTTGTGGAGTAAAGTTGGCATAAAACTACTCTTCTATACTATAACACCCCAACCCGTATCTGACCCGAACACGAATCTGAGGTGTCACATTAACTTTTCAAAACTTGTACATTTATAAAAATCATAGTAAATTTAAACTTTTATTAACATCAAAACTATGTCACATCATTAAGTTCAAAACATACAACTTGACCAGAGCTTAAGTACTATATGACTCTATTTACATGCCAACACATATATATTACATAAGCGGGCATACTATATAAGGTGCTTATGATCTGATCTTCAAATGATGATATACTGTTCTGATGCTCCTAAGACCGGTCTTCTTGTTTTTCTGTACCTACGTGTAAATCACTTACACGGTAAGTCATAGACTTAGTGAGACATAAATCTATAATAATGCATCTCTTATATATATGAACATGCAACATAACATTCAAAATTCCATATCAATTCCTGTGATTCGCTATAAACAATATTGATACTATAACATATAATGAAATACACACTTTTCACATTATTTATAGGCCCATGTATATACTGAGAACTTAAGGTATTCAAGTACATAGAGGTTGTGCACATTTGATGTCACCACAGCTCGTATAAGTTCCACTGAGTGGCATATGAGATTTGTCCTGAAGGACCTGTGAATATGTCCCGAAAGACCTATGAGTTATCCAGAAGAACCTATGAAACCCTAGACTCTTGGCATGCCAACTATACCTATAGCTCTCACATTACATAACATGGGCATTAATATTATATTTCATATAACCATGTACTTGTATCATTTCCCTTGTAATCACATATGTGTTTTCTTCTATTAGATTTCCCATGTGCATGTAACCATTAATCTCATATCATGTAACATAAGTATATGAGTACATTCACATGAATCATATAACATGTACGGATCATATGTCAACATATATGACTTATGCATGTGTAATAAAGACTATAGCATATGTATGTTCATAACTATCATTCTATGAAATAAATCTAGGAAACATACTTATCACAAGTCTTATTTCCATTAAATTTTACCTATATTATGTACTCACCTTAACCTTGTTTTCTTTGAATAGATCCTAGTCCTTCAATTGTTCCAGAACAGGATTACGTTTAGAATCTACATAAACATTTATGGACATATCAGTATTCTAATTGATATACTCTAATTATTCATTCCTTAGACTAAAAGAAAGGTTGATTTCATCTTTTATTGAAGATATGTATCGATGCACTCTACAGTGTATCGATGCATCCCTTAACGTGTGTATCGATGCACTACATGTGCATCGATACAAAAATCATATTCGATGTTTTCATTTTAAGGGGGTATATCGATGCACTCCCTATGCATCGATGCACTTATTGCATTCGATGTTTATTTATTTGAGAGTGCATCGATACACATTGAAGATGTACCGATGCACATAACCCATAAATTCCATTTTAAGCATGAAATTCACTCTCTTTTGAGTTCAACTCTTCATATTTCACCTGCTTTAATATTCCTAACTTTCATACACCTACTTATACTCATTCCTACTCAATAATCACTTCTTTAAACTCTAAATCCTATCATTTATATGGTATTCAAGAATCATACTCAATTTCCAACATGTTCTAATTTACATTCTAACACTTCCTATTCCTTAATTCCACTAATGACAAGTCAAATTTAGTCTTGAAATCTAATTAATACCTTTCTATTAAGATTTCACTTATTCACCTCCTTACTTTAATCCTTCCTAACTCCATCATCTTGTTGTTTTAAAACAAATTAAGCTTTCCTTAAGCTTAATTAGCATCTAATGATCAAAACCAAACTTAAATTTCAGCTAATAATCAGCTCATGAGAAAATTCACCTTTGCTTTGAGCCTTCACGTATGGATAAAAGAAAAGAAAAAGAGAACTCTGGAAGCTTATTTCCTTCTCCACCCCATTCCACGTGGAAACATAAATAATCATAACAATTAGATTATTTCCCTTGCCAATGACCATTTTATCTTTCACTTTCTTCTTCATTACACTTCAATCCTACATAATATTTCCCATATAAGTCATTGAACTATTCAATTATTCTACTTTAATCACCAAATTCTGAAACATTTTAATTTAGTCACTAACCCGGTATTGAGGATGTTACGAATCTCCTATCCTTAAGAAAATTCGTCCTCAAATTTTTAATGAGCAAAGAGATGGGGGTATTGGCTCCTCATATCCTCTTCACGCTCCCACGTTGCTTCCTCCATCTTGTGATTTCTCCACAAAACTTTAACTAATGGAATATTATTGTTTCTCAATTGCTTAACTCATGAGCTAAGACTTGAATCAGTTTTTCTTCATACGTCAAATTCGGTTGAACCTCGATTTCTTCTGGTGATACAATATGGGAGGGATCAGATCGATATTTCTAAAGCATCGAAACATGGAGTACATTGTGAATCTTTTCCATTTCTGGTGGCAATGCCAATTGGTATGCTACTGGTCCCACTTTTTTTACAATCTCATATGGTCCAATGAACCGAGGATTCAACTTTCCTCTCCGACCAAACCTCAACACTTTCTTCCATAGAGACACTTTTAAAAACACTTTATCACCAACCTGAAATTCAATTTCTTTCCTTTCCAGGTCTGTATATGATTTGTCTATCTGCGACAGCTTTGAGATTATTTTGAATTACATGAACTTTTTCTTCCACTTCCTGAATCAATTCAGGACCAAGAACTTCTCGATCTTTAAGCTCATACCAGTTCAAAGGTGTACGACACTTCCTTTGGTATAAAGCTTCATAGGGAGCCATTTTAATACTCGATTGATAGCTATTTTTAAAGGAAAATTCAGTAAGTGGAAAATATTTTTCCCAATATCCTTTAAATTCAATCACACAAACTCTCAACATGTCCTCTAGGATTTAGATATTTCGCTCGGATTGTCCATCAGTCTGAGGATGAAACGTTGTGCTAAAATTCAATCGAGTTCCCAATGCTCCATGTAATGACTTCCAAAATCTTGACGTAAATCGAGGATCTTGATCAGAAACAATAGAAGCAGGTACACCATGCAACCGTATAATCTCTCTAATATATAACTCGACATACTTGTCCATGGAGAAATCGGCTCGTACCATAATAAAATGGGCTGACTTAGTCAATCTATCTATAATCACCCAGATTGAATCTTTTTTGTTCGAAGTCAAAGGTAACCCCGTCACAAAGTCCATCGTTGCATTCTCCCATTTCCACTGAGGAATCGACATGGGTTGCAATAATCTGGACAGAACTTGATGTTCAGCTTTGACTTGCTGACAAGTCAAACACTTGGATACGAATTCTGTAATGTTTCTTTTCATTCCTGGCCACCAATATCGACTCTTGAGATTCAAATACATTTTGTTTCCTCCAGGGTGCATCGTCAATGGACTACAATGGGCTTCTATTAATAATTCATTTTTCAGTCCCCTATCATCTAGAATTACTAGCCTCCCTCGATAATATAAATTCCCATCAGCTTTGATCATATAATCAGTAAGTTCTCCATCTTTCACTTGTTGTAATTTCTTTAAACACTCTTCATCTCTAACTTGCAATTCCTTGATTCTATCTATCCATGATGGCCAAAGGGTTAATTCCGCACATAAAGCACCATCATCATCATTCACTGACAACCTAGCATCCAGGGCTCGTAAGGCTGCAATCGTCTTTCGGCTCAGAGAATTCGCTACTACATTTGCTTTTTCAGGATGGAAATCTATTACAACATCATAATCTTTCAAAAATTCTATCCACCTCATTTGCCTTCAATTTAACTCTTTTTGAGCCATCAGATACTTCAAACTCTTATGATCTATATACAAGTAACATCATTCACCACACAAGTAGTAACGCCAGATCTTCAAAGCAAACACTACTGCAGCTATCTCTAGATCATATGTATGATAATTCTTCTCGTGCGGTTTTAATTGCCTCGACTTATACGCTACCACTTTACCCTCTTGCATTAGTACACATCCCAAGCCATTATGAGATGCGTCACTATAGACCACGTAGTTTTTACCAGTCTCCGTTTGAACCAATATTTGAGCTTCTGTCAAAATCTATTTTAACATATCAAAACTTTCTTGACATTCAGGGGTCTACAGAAACATTACTCCTTTTCTCATCAACTTGGTCAAAGGTAAAGCGATCATCGAAAAGTTATTACAGAACCTTCGATAATAACCGGCAAGTCCTAGAAAACTTCAAACTTCAGATATATTCTTGGGAACCTCCCATTCAAGAATAGCTTTTACTTTCTGAGGATCCACTCGAATTTTTTCCGCAGAAATCACATGTCTGAGAAATATAACTTCATTCAACCAGAACTCACATTTGGATAGCTTGCCATATAACTTCTTGTCTTGGAGAGTTTGCAAGACTATTTTCAAATGTGCACTATGCTCTTCATTTGTCTTTGAATACACCAATATATCATCGATAAAAACCGCTACAAATTGGTCTAAATAAGGTTGAAAATTTCAATTCATCAAGTCCATCAAAGCAGCTGGTGAATTTGTAACTCTGAAAGCATCACAATAAACTCATTGTGGCCATACCGCGTTCTAAATGTAATTTTTGGAATATTTTTCTCCTGAACTTTCAATTGATGATATCCCGATTGCAAGTCAATCTTAGAGAAGACCGAAGCTCCCTTCAACTGATCAAACAAATCATCGATCCTAGGGAGAGGATACTTATTCTTAATGGTTACTTTATTGAGCTTCCTGTAGTCGATACAGAGACGCATTGACCCATCCTTCTTTTTGACGAACAATACTGGAGCTCCCAATGGTGAAATACTCAGTCTTATAAATCCCTGTCTAATAGCTCCTGTAACTGAATCTTTAATTCTTGCAACTCTTTTAGAGCCATTCTATATGGTACTATAGTAATAGACGCAGTTCCCGGCATTATCTTGATATGGAATTCCACCTCTCTATCCAGAGGCAAACCCGGTAAATTTGCATGAAATACATCAGGAAACTCTCTAACTATGGGAATTTCCTCAATCCCCTTCTCTTTAGCTCTAACATCCAGCACATTTGCAATAATCCCCTGACATCCCTGCAGTAATAGCTTCTTTGTTGACATCACAAAAATAACATTTTCCAATGGATTTCATCCTTCATTGAATACTACCACTTCTAATCCATCTGAATTAACTAACATTACCCTTTTTGAACTACAATCGACATTTACATGATAACGATATAACCATTACATTCCCAGTATCACTTCAAATTCGTCAAAGGGTAATTCCATCAGATTAGCAGGGAATTCAATTCCCTGAATCTGTATGGAACACCCTCGACACCTTCTATTAACCTAAACACTGTGCCCTAATGGATTTGTAACTATAACTTCATTACTGGTGTCTTCTAATGGGATGTTCAATTCTTTTACCAACTTACTATTAATGTATGAATATGTAGACCCCAGATCAATCAATACCATAACACATTTATCCAACAATAAAAAAGGTACATGTTATTATTTATGGATTATCATGGTCTTTATTGGTTTTGAGGTTATATACCCGAGCAATGGATTGAACCTCTTGTTAAGTAACAGATTCTGTCTGATTTCTTCCTCTACCTCTACCTCGTCCCCTTTGAGATATTGAAACAGATCTTTCTGGATTGGCAGCTCTTCAGCCCTCAAAGGACAATCTCTCAAAAAATGCCATGTTTCTCTACATCTGAAACAAGCTCATGTTTTAACTCTGCAGATGCCACTATGATTTCTCCCACAAATCTGACATTGTCTAACTTAACTTTGTTGTGCTCGCCCTTCACCAGACCCTACAGATTGAGTTTGGCTAAATCTCATCTGATTTGATCCTCTAGCAGAGGATGTCACTGATTCTGACCTTGCTTGAGATCGAAATCCTAAATCTCTACCTCTCTTGGGCGGTGCAGAACTCGATGAAGCTCCAGTTCTTTTGGATGGTTGAGACCTTTGCTCCCCAAACCGCTCATTCTGAGCTCTCTCTAAAACTTTGGCATGGTTTACTACTTCTTAGAATGAGGACAAGTTCAACACAATCAACATCTCTTTCAGCCTGGGGTGTAAGCCCTCCACAAACCACTCACATGCATCTTTCTCTGTAGGTACCAGCTCCGCTGCAAAGCGACTTAGTTTGTTGAACTCACACTCATATTCATACAAAGTACGGTTCATTTTCTTTAGGTTTAGAAATTCCTGCTTTATTTGCTTAATAAACTTGTCCCCTATATACTTGTGTCAAAATTCTTCTAGAAATAGAGACCATGTCACACGATCACTTGCCATCCTCAATGTGACATTTGTCCACCATATTCTAGCATGCCCACGAAGCAAGGAGACTACTCTGTCAAGCTTCTCCACATCAGAATAGTGGAGTCCTTCTAGCATAATCTTCACGTCATTAAGCCAAATGTCCGTAGCAATGGGACCATCTTCGGCTTCACCTCGAAACTCTGGAGCTCCTAAACCCTTCAACTCCTTAGCAACATTCATTTTCAGAGTTGAAGTAACAGGAGGTTGAAAACGCGACAATACCGCATCCAACGTCCTGAAGAATACATCTATATCAACTACAGGCACTCCAGAAGTTGTCTGTTCTTCACCTTGCCTGGCCAGAGCAGGTGAATTACTGCTCTCAGCTAATCTCTCATCTCCCGCTTCACTTTGGGAGCTATCTTGTCCGGACATCTAATAAGACATAATCAAATATCTCTATTAGCTAATCAACATACTCATTACTCTTATTAGATCAGAAGTTCTTACTACTATGTTGGCATGTAAACTTTTTAAGACACTTTAGACTTCTGTTTATGCTGAGAATCGACTAAACCATAACTTTGATACCATTAAATGTAACACCCTAACCTGTATCCGACCCGAATACAAATCCGAGGAGTCACATTGCCTTTTCAAAACTTGTACATTTATAAAAATATAGTAAATTTAAACTTTTATTAACATCAAAATTATGTCACATCATTAAGTTCAAAACATACAACTTGACCAGAGCTTAAGTACTATACGACTCTATTTACATGCCAACACATATATATTACATAAGCGGACATACTATATAAGGTGCTTCTGATCTGATCTTCAAATGATGATATGCTGCTCTGCTGCTTCTAAGACCGGTCTTCTTGTTTTTCTGTACCTATGTGTAAATCACTTACATGCTAAGTCATAGACTTAGTGAGACATAAATCTATAATAATGCATCTCTTATATATATGAACATGCAACATAACATTTAGAATTCCATATCAATTCCTGTGATTCACTATAAACAATATTGATACTATAACATATAATGAAATACACACTTTTCACATTATTTATAGGCCCATGTATATACTGAGAACTTAAGGTATTCGAGTATATAGAGGTTGTGCACATTTGATGTCACCACAGCTCGTATAAGTTCCACTGGGTGGCATATGAGATTTGTCTTGAAGGACCTGTGAATATGTCCCGAATGACCTATGAGTTGTCCCGAAGGACCTATGAAACCCTAGACTCTTGGCATGCCAACTATACCTATAGCTCTCACATTACATAACATGGGCATTAATATTATATTTCATATAACCATGTACTTGTATCATTTCCCTTGTAATCACATATGTCTTTTCTTCTGTTACATTTCCCATGTGCATGTAACCATTAATCTCATATCACGTAACATAAGTATATGAGTACATTCACATGAATCATATAACATGTACGGATCATATGTCAACATATATGACTTATGCATGTGTAATAAAGACTGTAGCATATATATGTTCATAGCTATCATACTATGAAATAAATCTAGGAAATAGACTTATCACAAGTCTTATTTCTATTAAATTGTACATATATTCTACACTCACCTTAACCTTGTTTTATTTTAATCGATCATAGTCTTTCGATTATTCCGGAACAGGATTACGTTTAGTATCTACATAAACATATATGGATCCATATCAGTATTCTAATTGATATACTCTAATTATTCATTCCTTAGACTAAAAGAAAGGTTGATTTCATTTTTTATTGAAGGTATGTATCGATGCACTCTATAATGTATCGATGCACTCTACAGTGTATCGATGCATCCCTTAACCTGTGTATCGATGCACTACCTGTGCATCGGTACACAAATCACATTCGATGTTTTCATTTTAAGGGGGTGTATCGATGCTATGCATCGATGCACTTATTGCATTCGATGTTTATTGCACACAACCCAAAAATTCCATTAGAAGCACGAAATTCACTCTCTTTTCAGCACAACTCTTCATATTTCACCTCTTTAATATTCCTAACTTTCATATAACTACTTATACTCATTCCTACTCAATAATCACTTCTTTAAACTCAAAATCCTATCATTTATATGGTATTCAAGAATTATACTCAATTTCCAACATGTTCTAATTTCCATTCTAACACTTCATATTCCTTAATTCCACTCATGACAATTCAAATTTAGTCTTGAAATCTAATTAATACATTTCCATTAAGATTTCACTTATTCACCTCCTTACTTTAATCCTTCCTAACTTTATTATCTTGTTGTTTTAAAACAAATTAAGTTTTCCTTAAGCTTAATTAGCATCTAATAATCAAAACCAAACGTAAATTTCAGCTAATAATCAGTTCATGAGAAAACTCACCTTTGCTTTGAGCCTTCACGTATGGAGAAAAGAAGAGAAGAAGAGAACTCTGGAAGCTTATTTCCTTCTCCACCCCATTCCACGTGGAA